TTATAAACGTTAAGGACAATTTCTTTTTCCTGAATATTCAACTGTCCCTTCTTGTCACGTTTTCGGGGAGGATACATCACTGAAGGAAGCATTGGGAGAAATATTCTCAGTGATGACGACATGCTAACGTATAAACACACGCTATGTATGCACCGAATATGAACAGCAACTGCCGGCGTCGGCGTGCCGGCGATATCTCGAGCCTGAGTTCTATCCCGTCGAATCCTGCACTTGTTCGCAGTTTCATGGCCGAGTAACAAATACTTGTTTCTATTGCAACGCTTAGGCGGCTGCCGCTTTGCCGCGCTGCATCTTTGTTGTGCCGGGGCGTAAATGGACCACGAATAGGGTATAGTAACGGCATCCTAGATAAACAATCCATAGAAGTATAAAGAGTGAAGGCAGTTTTTCGAACACATACTACAGCTAATAAACTGGTAAATCATGAATTAGTAGTCAGTAATGAATTGATTGCATACATTCCTCATTTCTTTACTAGTAAAAAAGGAATTCGTATGGTCGACACAAGTTTCTCTGAGGGAGACAATCATATCAAGTAGAACAGTCGTTGCATTGAAAAGACTAAAAAGGAAATCCCTGAACGCAGAAACTAATCAGCAGGAATTTATAAATAAACAGATGATTGTGGTGAGATTCAAAGTAGAACCGTACATTCACCCTGTAGTACAATGTTTTAAATGTCTGAAATTGTGCAATAACCTTTTGCGTACATTGTAATAGTGATGAGCACAGTTCTATTTCCAAAGAATGTCCTATGTACAAAAAACAGTACAATATAACACGAATCGTGGCTCTCCAAAATAAATCATTTAAAGAAGCAGAAAATATAGCAAATAACCTGCCTTATACGAAAATCAAGACGAACAATAGATTTTCAGTTCTTAACACCATTGACAACTTTCCAGAATTGCCAATCGCGTCGTATTCAGCAGTAACCAATCAGAAAGCCGATCTCCCGAAACAACAACCCGTCCAAATTCCCAACGCCGAAAAGAAGAAAATATCATCTTCGCAGCCTACATCCGACATCAGTTCAAAAAGAGTAACCAAATCACAACCTATAATTCTGAACCCTTATCGAGATGAGATGCAACAACGCAAAAAAATACAATACTCCAATTAGTTATATCTACTCTTATTACGAGTTCATTAAGCTCGCCGTCCACAATTTCTCAAATAAATATTAGAGAACATTTAAACTCTATTCTTGAGACAAAGATAAATTCTGTCAGTCCTAAAATAGATACAGAGGTAATTGATATTTCCACATTGAGTGATGATTCTGGTACCTATTGATAAATACTGATCCATCAGTACCACGAAGGGAAATGAACAAATATATAAACATTTTACAATGGAATGCTCATTCAGTATGTGCCAATAAAGCTAGTTTACAAAATTTCCTGTACAACAATCGCTTAGGCCCGTATCGTCAGTCGTCCCTACAAATGTAGGGCGCCTTTATGGCCTCCTTGATTGTCATACTCCTTTCTCTCCTTAAAAATTTCTAGACTACACTTGTCCCGAGTCAGCGTCAGCGCTCTCCTATTGTGAAGATATGTTTTCTTTTTAAATTGTAGGAAATCTCACGCTGATAAAACATGATATAACTCAAAAGCAAGCACAATTTGATGCAAATAGATGTTTGTGACATAACCTCAAAATACAGCGCTGACACGGAGAAGTAGAAAACTATGACAATCAAGGAGGCCATAAAGGCGCCCTACAATTGTACGACTGACAATACGGGCCTAAGACTTTATATTAATATCAGAGCTATGGCTAAAAGAAACTTCGCTTTCAAAATATACAATTTTGTTAAACAATGCAGAGACACCCGGTTCTGGTGACGTGGGCATATTTATTAAACAGAATATTAATTTCTAAGTACCTAATTTCTATCTCAAATAATTTTAATCGTTCTATAGAGGCTTGTCCGATTACCGAGAATGCCGGGGAATACAATTTAGTTCTATATATAATCCAACAGAAGTTCGTGCATCGCAAAGAGATTTGTGTAATCGATTTAATCAGTTTAGTGATCCCACAATCTATTGTGGAAATTTTAATTCACACCATGGCCTATGGGGTTATAGAGAAAATTGTGCCCTAGTAATCCTTAATGATGGTCGACCTACTCAAATAGTCAGCCCACAATATACAAATCAGTTTTCTGCGGTCGATTTAACGTTAATGTCACCAAAAAAAGCAGATATCATGACTTAGGTCGTGTTACCCGACACGAAGGGCTCTGATCATTTTCCAATTCATATCACCGTACAGTCATCTACAGGCCAGTTGGTTGACTATATGCCCTATTCTATGTGGAACGAAAAACACGCAGATTGGACAGTTTTTCGAAACTTAATAGAATCGGAGATAAACGACTCATCCAGTTTGGGCGACATGCTCAATACGGATAAGTTTAGCGCCCTAATCAAAATAATTTCACACGCTGCTGACAACAGGATACATCTGAACAAACTTTTCAGTTTTGCTCCCTCTCAACCAGTTTGGTGGGGCAGGGATTGTACAGAAATATTTGAGACCAGAAAGAAGGCTCTTGGCAACTGCAAGATACAGGCAAATTTTGAAAATTTTATAGCAGCTGGCTGTCTTGTCTAGGCAAACTAAATCGAAGATCCCGATTAACAAAATATGACGTTTTGTGAAGTCAGTAAATACAAATTCTGTTATCAATCAAGCTCCAAGGATTTAGTTTAAAAGCTTTTGGACAATTTTGCACCTCTGTCAATTGTAGCAGCACCTTTAGCAAATCCTTATAACTTTAGTTAACATCAAAAGTCCCTTATTGTCAAACCATTCTTTTTTAGAGAACTGGAAACGTGTCTTAAGGATTGCAGAAACACTTCACTGGAATAGACAGGTTTACTTATGATATTCTGCATAACCTGCCAGATTCTGTCAAACTTCTACTTCTTCAACTTTTCAACGAGTGGTATACAAAACACTTAGTTCTAAACTTTTTTTAGAAATGTCAACATGAAAAACACTACTTTTACAAGATAGCGCTTCACCTCTTATAGAACAATTATATTTCGTTCACGATCATACATTATTAATTTTAGTAATTATTACTGTTTTAGTAAGACAACTAATAATCATATTACTTTTTAACAAATTCGTTATCTTTTGATACTAAAGCCGGGTAAAGAGCCATAGTACAATGGCTCGTACAGACCCATCCTGTATACCCTATTTGACGAGTATTCATCACGGAACAATGACAGCTAGTTATCTAGTAGTATTTCAAATTTCCCCATATCGGCACAGGACACATAATTAATTCCGAGGGTATTTTGTTGTGGTTCTTTGTATGCTACAGATTCGTTTTGTACTTGCTAACAACTATTTTATTTACAAAAGTTTCTTTGCATACGAAAGAGACGCTACAAGCACAATGGCTGCTAATCTGCTAATGACCATGACTAAATTTCAAGTCAGGTAGGAATAGGAATAGGTATGGTCAGTCGTTCCTACAATTATTGTAGGACGCCTTTATGGCGTCCTGGCTTTTCATAGTTTTCTACTTTTCCGTATCAGCGCTCTATTTTGAGGTTATGTCACAAATATCTATTTGCATCAAATTGTTCATGCTATTGATTTATATCATGTTTTATCAGCAAGAAATTTCCTACAATTCAAAAAGAAAATATAACTTCACGATAGGACAGCGCTGGCGCTGACACGGAACAGGTGCAATCTAGGAACTTTTGAAGGAGAGAAAAGACTATGACAATCAAGGAGGCCATAAAGGCGTCCTACAATTGTAGAAACGACTGACGATACGGCCCTGAGATAAACAGTTTTTAACTATATTAATTATATCTACTTTTTAGAACTTGAACACCAATGATTTTAAAGGGCAATGAAAGAGCCATACATTTAGTTCAGAATGTGTGGCAGTATATGACCCAGTTGATAGAGGTCCGATTAACTCAAATAGGTCTGAACATTACTCAGGTAATTCTAACAAGTAATAAAATAGAAAAATGTAAGTAACTATTGCAGGAAATCATTATATGTACACAACTGGGACAATGCTGTGTTCTGTCTCTCTCTCTCTCTCTCTCTGCTGGATCTCTTTCTGACCACGCATCCTGTCCCTTACAGCGCTGCTGTCCTGTCCCGCCTGGGTGACTCCGACCACGGTGTTGTGGAGGTTAGGTTTCGGTCAGAACCCGTTGTGATAGCAGAAACTCGTACAGGCCGCAAAACTTGACAACGGACCTGCCGCCTGGGAGGGGCTCAGAGACTTCTGTAGCTTTCCTTGGAGAGATGTCTGTTTCACTGACGCGGATGTGTCGGCTGTCTGTTCTTCGATAACTGAAATTATCCATGTCGGAATAGAGTAATACATCCCTCACACAGTGAAACTGCCTAAACCAGGGTCCAACGGCTGGTGTAACAAATCGTGTGACACTGCTCGCCAGCAGAAGATCAAGGCAAACAGAACCTTCTTACAAAACCCCACTCTAGCAAACAGACAAGCCGACGTCGAGTCCAGAAACAAATATAGCGCAGCGGTTCGCAATGCCAAGAACCAGCACGCAGCGCAATGGCAGTCGCTCTTTCTGGACGCTGACCAATCAGATTGAAAATAATTTCTCACACAGTAGCCTTCCACCACTTACGTGTCAGGATGGAAGATTGTATTCGACTCAAAGGCCAAGGCGGAAGTGCTAGTCAAGATCTTTGCTGCCAACGCCACCATGCACGCCCAAGTGCCGTCAATTCAAAGGGTTCCCTACACTAGGCGGGAGGTAACATTCAGGCATAAGACCGTAAGACGAGTGCTCTTGTCGCTCGACATCCACAAAGCTTCTGATCCGAATTTGATTCCTGCCATTGTACTGAAGAGTGTGCAGCGGAGCGGAGCGTCTCTTACAGGTATCTTATGAATCCGGCACCTTCCCAGTAAACTGGAAATTTGCTCATGTCCCACCCATCCCAAAAAAAGGATCTAAGACGGACCCTTTAAACTGGAAATTTGCTCATGTCCCACTCATCACAAAAAAAGGATCTAAGACGGACCCTTACAACTACAGGCCTAGAGTATGGTTTCCGGCACGAACGATCCACATGGGACCTCCTAGCTTACGTCACGCAATTGTGGAGTAAAGTCATCCAGTCTTATGGTGAGGCTCATGTCGTTGGACATCACGAAAGCGTTCGATCAGCTGTGGCACGCTGCCCTCTTAAGCAAACTTCCATCCTATGGCAGAAAAGCTTTGCAGATAAGTAGCTGACTTTATCTCTGGCCGCAAGATATCCGTCGTAATTGGCGGGTTCTCCTTTCCTGCACGATCAACCCAGTCCACAGCTTAGCTGATGATAGCACTCTACATGGAGGAATTCCGAGTAACAAGCCGATCTCTGCCGCTGATATGGAAAAAAGAAGACTAGCGACGACTTCCTCTCTGACAAGAGACTTGGGGACGCAACATATTGTACAGTTCAATGCTTCTAAAACACAGTACTGTACTTTGACGAACAAGAAGCGTCCTAGCGCTCATTTGGGGTTCGATGTCCAGATCACCGAGGACCTGATCTAGCACGAACACATTTCGTCAATAGCTGAAGCTGCTGGGAAAAAGCTAGGCTATTTGTTTAGGCTAAGAAGTACTTTTCTCACGCATGACCTTGTCACTCTACTACAAGGCCCCAGATAAGGCCTAACCTCGAGTATTGCTCACACGTTTGGGGTGCTGCCGCCCGACTACATTATCCATGCTCGCTGCTGTCCAGAGGAGGGCGGTCCGACTGATCGATGACTCTTCTCTAACAGGACAGTCTCGGGACTCTTTCGCACCGTCGGGCCATCGGCGATCTAGATCTTTTCTACCGCTACACCAACGGGCTTTGCTCCTCAGAGCTCTCTTCCATGATGCCGCCGCGAGATGTGACCTGCCAGACAGAACCCGCCTGACTTTGGCATCCATCCTAACCGTGTCGAACTTCAGTACATCCAGAACTGGCCTATACGACCGCTCCTTTGTACCGAGGTGTCGAGATGGGAAACAATCTACTGAGGGAAGCTTTTCTACTCTACTACTAACCTTAGGCAGTTCAAGAATCGTATTAACAAAATCTTCTTCGGGATCATCATAGCAGCCGCGGTGTTCCGTCTTCTGCCTGCGCGGCTGCTTCGATATAAAAAAAACTCTGCAAAAATCTAAAGGAAACGCAAAACGTAGTTTACAATTTTCTTCAAAGAGAGTAAGATATTGATAAGGATATACCAAACAGCACAACTGATGCTATGCCATCATTACGTATCGAGGAAATGGTAAATTCCAGAAGTATATTTTATTTTTCTTTTGCTATTTAAGTGGTATGATGCATTTGATGGTTCACAATAATATGGCATGGTGGTGGGTCGTTTTCGTAATTTTGGGTGAATATTAGTTTTGATTCGACTAGTTTGGACGAATACGTTACACTGATGACGGACAATAAACCAGAAACACGTGCCTATATTATTTTTACAGGTAAATTCACAGATTCTGGAAAGGACTACGCAACCTGTTCTATTGCCATACCATGTAATCAATAAATCCCCAGATGTACTATAATAATTTTCTGCTAAACTTTTCTATATCTGTCCTGTATATTTTATTGTCACATTTCCCGTCCACTTAAAAATATAATCCTGATATGGAACAACAGTTCTGAATACGGTCCCGAAATTCATCATGCCATCGTTACCAAATTAACACAAAGATGTCGCTTTTGTGATCAGCTGTTCACCTCAAACGTGATGGATACTCGTGAAATAAGGTTAGTCAAAACTTTTGAACGCATGACCAGGCTGGCTATAAATTCAATCTCGAAAGCAAAAGCTGATACCGATCATGTGCTGATCTCACAGTACGGTTTTAGAAGTGATTGTGGAACTTTGATGCCGTGACCCAGTTAGTTTTAGACGTGTAATTTTGTTTCTCTACTGGTTCCTGGATTTCAAGGGTGCATATGATTCTGTAGACTTAGGAATTCTTATGGAAAAATTATACAAAGGCATATCTAGGAATCTACAGCCAGTATAATAGAGCTATTCAAGGACAGAACTATTTACTATAACATATCACAGAAATGAATTACTTGGACCTATGATGGTTTACAACGGTTTACCGCAAGTTCAATACTTAGTCCTATATTATTAAATTTGTACACAGCTGACTTCCATGGCAGGCTCGACAAGGAGGTGCAAGTTATCCAATACGCGGATTTTATAATATGTACATATGTAGAACACCATTCATATAATTATTGTCATCAATTCATATAAAAAGCGATTGATAGGTAAAGAATTGGTTGCTAGAGATGAACCTCCAGCTTGTCCATTGATAAGTCCGCGATAATGTGTTTTACCAGGCACAGGATCGTGCTTCCTAGTCAGCTCAAAGTTGGTGACGTTGTCATTCCCGTAGTGCAGAATTACAAATACTTAGGTATAGTACTGCATCCAAACTCTTATGGAGCAAGCATATTCAGTTCGTTAGATCCAACTCGAGAGAGGGATCAACATATTTAAGTGCACCACGAAGAAAAATGGGGTTCAGAACAGAAAATAGCACTAAGTTTTTACCAATCATATGTACGTTCTTTGTTGGACTATAGATGTGTGCTATACGGTTCAGCAACTAAGTTCCCATTACAAAACTTGATCGAGGTACAGCTGCATGCCTTGAGAATTTGCATGTGAGTCATGAGATCGTCACCGTGTCCAGTTGTTTTAGCTGAAGCAAAGGAACCTCCGCTTACTCTGAAACGGCGGTACTTTGCACAGAGAACAGTTGTAAGTACAGGTCATGTAATAAATTTGTTAGACAAAATATCAGAATTAACAACAGAAGACTATACTAATAGCTTCTGGGCCAAGAAATGTTCACCTATGCTGGCTGAGGCTTTCGCTGTTACCAGTAATCTATCGAGTTATATTCACCCGGCAGATAATTATCCGTTATATAATTGTACATATGAAGTATTTTTAAATGAAACAATCATCTTAGTGCCTGACTATAATAGGACCGTCCTATCAACCGTACTGGCAGAACTTAATTACCGGACTCTCATTTATACCAATGGCTCTAAAAGTAAGGCGAGCACTGGTTGTGCTTTCTACATTCCACACCTAAATTATTGTAACAGTCATATAATAACGCTTTGCTATGTAACATTAGGAAATTGCTTGTAACTTGCAATGCCAAAAGAACACATATAAACTTTGTATGGGTTAAAGGGCTGCTGGCGTCAGGGGCAATGAAAAGTAGACAAGGCTGCTTGAATACTATAACGAATGTTCCCCCCGTTTACTCTGATTTATTCATAGAAATTAACCCTTAACTGGTGACGTGCCATTCGGGTAACGTTAGAGGTCATGCTGGGGGGGTATCTCAGACCCACATTATTTTTTTATATACTTGTATATATTTTAGATATTGTTAATTAATAAAACAAAATGATAAATGCTACCTAACGGTTGGTCCAGCAAAACAGTTGTCTAGTGGCGTGCAAATTTAGGCCCTAGCACAATAAAGCGGAGAGTAGGGGCGGGTTAAGAGCGCCAGTGACTTAAGACGGATTAAGCCACAACCCCCGAGATGTTAGTCGAAGTTGTTTTGCTTGACCACCACACAAAAGGAGAATCTAACAGAGATGACGAAATTTAAGTAACAGTACACACAGAGCCAAATGAACAAGATATCAAATGGATCACAATATATTGATTAAAAAGAATAAAAACACGCATGTGCTTCACTACTGGAGTGCGAGAAAGGATATTAAAAAAACTGTCGCAAAATAAAATAGTTGGCTGTTTACCATGGTATACGCTTTACATATATGTTTACGCCTAAACTACACTTATCTGGGCGTAGGTCTTCTCTAAGTTATGGCTAGGCGCAGCCGAGATGTATCCCAGGTCAAAAAGAACGAAAAAAAAGGCAGTCAGTAGTGGGGCACGACACTGGGCAGGGGCTGCTTGCCTCGGTCCCAAAAATTATGATGGTAACAGAAAAAAAACCTGTTCACGTCAGGGTTTTTTCAAGGGGATGGCTTCCAATTTGCAAAACTGCAACGATGCAACTGACTGGGGGAGAAAAGACGAGGATTTTCTTCTGTTTCGCTGAGGTCAAAATCCCATAAAAAATGGAAGACGTAGAACCCAAAATAACTAAACTTAAGTTACGCAACAAAAGGAAAAGGGTGCTAGTCCATGAGTGGGTGCTTGGGGCCTTATATCCCAGAGTCTGGAAAACGACAGAGACCCCTGGACCACGACCTCAACGGAAGCTGAAAAGCGAATCACCGAATACGCAACGTTCTAGAGGAAGCACCCTAATTTTCCAAGAGATGTCCCTCATATAGACCAATTTTATTCAAATAGGGAGTTTTCGTCGATCATAACTAGACTAAAGCTAAATCATGGCTGTTTCCCTGATCAACTCCATAGAATAGGTGTAACAAATTCTCCACTGTACCGGATCTAAATTGCATGTAAATTCACAGCGCGAAAGAAGAGTGCTAGCCATGTACTTGCTATGGAGACGACGAATAGGAAATAGGCGGTTTTGGATTCACTCATTGCTTCAAAATCGACATACTTCTGGGTCCTTCAAAGTTTTATTCAATTCATTTCGGAACAGTGAGGAAAGGCACAACACAACACTTAAAAAAAACAATACCGCAGTACACGTACGTCTTTCCTCTCCAGTGGCAGATCCAGGACTAGAGGTGGAGGCGTGCGGCGCCCGCCAGACCGTGTGAAAGCCCCAATAACAACAATAGCCCTTCGCAGAGTAGTCCGGCTTAGAGGCCGCATGTCCGGCGTAGGGGAGAGCGCGCGCCGCATATTGTGTGGAAAGACTCATCAACTCCCATAGCCCAACGCCGCATCAGGCCGTCAAGTGCGAACCGGATCGTGTGATAGGGGCGTAAGACGATAAGCAAATGGAGAGCAAAATTATTCAATTAATGTTTTGTGCGCAACCAATATGAAAAATGCACATGATTCTTATTTTACTTAAACCGTTAATTTCGTTTAAAGGACAGCTTTGTAGTGAGCGCTGAACGAGAATTCTACACCGCGATTGAGCAAGAACTGGCAAAGTTGAAACCTGTAGAAGAAGCGCCACCAGATGAAGTACACGAAGAGCATGATCAATTCACGGAAATGAAACCGCAACCGGTACCGGTTCAAGCGGAACTGCCCAACCCTTCACCGCAAAAGGAGAAAGCGAAGGACAAAGGCAAGGAAAAGACTTGATTAGCACAAAATACAGGCTAAGCATGTTTTTTTTTGAGTTTACAATATATTACTAATGCAAGTTTTACTTTTTTGCTTCATTTATTTTTTAATTCACACTGTCTGCAGCCATTGCACCTTCCTGTATAACTTCATACATTTATCTGACATGATATAAATGTATTCGCCCAGTACAGGGGCAGCTTGGACGTTGTGCAAAGGTGGAAATAGATTCTGGTTACGTAGTGAGGTCACGTCCGTATTGGTGGCGTGTTGTGGAACAATTTCAGGAAAAATTCCACTATTCAATTAACCGATTATTTTTGCGCATCCCTAGTTTATTTTTTCAATTCAAATAATAATGTAACTTAGAATGTGTACTCCGTGAAAAAAAAATTGCAAATTTTAGTTTTTCTTTTGCAGGTTTTAGGTTTGCTAGTAAATATAGTGTACACTGCCCGAACAACGAAAAGTATTCAACTTTGTGTATATGGATATCAAAAATCCTTAAAGGTTTTGTACGAATATCAATGTAAGCTGCCATAATGGTACTGATAAACGGGAAGTAAATGAATGAATGATTGGAAACAAGCAATATCTATGGAATTTTCTGTAGAAAGTCTTTGTCATCAATTAGGCGTTTAATGGCTATCTGCAAGAGGTTTATGGGAAGAAACCCAGGGTGTGTGATGTTAAATGAATAAACAATCAATAATAGTATAAATAACATGAATCTTATTCCAAAATCCAACATTTTTTAAAATTCTAACTGAATTATACTTAAGTTCTTAATATTGGCGAAGTTTCAATGACAAGCTGCCATCTCGTACTTTGACAATATTTTGTTTACAACATTTCACAGCTATTGGTTGCTAAAATTTATCGAATGGATCTTAAAGCTCATTTGCTATAGTACATTTGACGGATTGTTACCCTATAGGTGGATAATAATGGCTTGTTGATTTGAGAGTCTTGGTGCAATCCACCCTTTATGTAGTAGTTTTTAGAAATTTGCTAAAATGCGAGGTGTGAGCCATTCAGATGCTTATTACAACACAATGCTTACCACGGATCGTTTTCCACAATTCAACCTCATGTCATCGGCTTAAGTGGAAACGCTGCACAGCAGAAAACATTAGTGAATGAAACCACTTTAGCTTGAGGTACACCATTTCCTCCATATATTCAAAGAACTGAATGTGGGGCAAACGCAGGCAATTTAGAACTTGGAATAATCGAAATAAAATATCAGTCTCTTACTAAATACGTTTACTTCAATTAACTTTTCCAGAAGATCACATTTCAAAACGGAATATTGAATCATTAAATAAAAAATGAAATTCCATAGTCTAACTTTTACCATTCGGAGCACTACAGAAAGCATTAAAAATCCACTTTCTCTCGATATTAGCTCCAATACCCACAAGCTCCTGCTTGAATACGGATGGAAACCGAATCATGAGAGATTCAATATCGGAAGGTCGTATATTCGGCTCTATTTTGCTTACATAGGACCAAATGTAGTCCAAACCAGCCCCAAAAGGATGAACGTTCAGAAAAGTTGATATTATGCCCACCAACTTGGCGTCGCATTCGTTCAGTCTCTGCGAGGTTGTGCTCGTTGCAGCCTCTGAAAGACACTCTGACACGCTGACAGAGTCACACTGCTCGTTTTCGCTGTCATCCAAGTTGATAATCTCTTTGTCGGTCAATATTTTTCGATCATGCTTCCTTGGAGGTTTCTCCCCTGACAATTTGCTTTGCAAATCCTTCACCCTAGCTTCTTCCTCGCATTGTCTTTTTTTCGCTTCGAGTAGCTGCTGTTGCATGCCCTGTAGCGTTTGTTGTAGTACTTTGAATTGCTTGTCTTTGTCTTCCATGTCCTTTTTGTAGTCTAGTTTCAGCACTTCCACCTAGAATGTGAATGTTGGTTAGCATAAGAGCATAAGAGCAGAAAATGGGGAAACTCAATGGAGAACAAAGTTATACATTTAGTTATATACAATTTAGGATCGCATTGATAAACGTTACTTGAGAATGGAGTGCCGTTTAAGGAATAATCTTTGAGGAACGTCCAAGAAAGGGCTTAACATTTGCATTTGACAGATGTAACAGTTGTCATCACACAGTCATCGATGTCGGAAAGATTTTTCTTTACTGGCCGTATCTATTTAGCATTTTGACGGTTGCACAGTGCTGCAGGGTGTCTCCGGATTCGACTAAATTTAGTAATAATATACTAAGTGACATATAAATCCGAAAACCCAGTTTAAATGGTTTTATTTTAATAAAATTTTGTATAAGTACTTAATGAAGCATAATAAGTAAATGATAAAAATTTCAAAATGATTGCACTGCTTTTAAAGCCCTTTGACCTTTAATAATGTGTGGATGCACCCTGATGTGCTACGCATTCTCCCATGCGCCTAGGCATGCTTCTGATCAGGTGGTCAATGTCCTCCTGTAGTATCTCATTCCAGGCAACCACCAACTCCTCTCGAAGTGCTTCTAGAGTCTGAGGAGGACGTTGCAAATTGAGCAGTCTCCTACCCATCATATCCCACACGTGCTCAATTGGGGATAAGTCGGGAGATCTTGGTGGCCATGGTAACAATGTGACATCATTATGTTGAAAGAAGTCTATTGTGACTCTTGCAACATGTGGTCGGGCATTATCTTGTTGGAAAGTTGGATCTGCCAGGGTGTCAAGATAGGATAAAAGATGGGGTTCTAGAACTTCGTGGATATAACGCTGCGCATTCATGTTACTTCTGATGAAGATTAAAGGTGACCTGGAACCATAAGCTATAGCACCCCAAACCATAGCTCCAACAGTGTGATGAACATGTCTTTCAACAAAGAACTGTGGATTCCTCCTTTCACCACGTCGCCTTCTAACCCTGGCACGACCATCGTGCATGCCTAAACAAAATCGAGACTCGTTACTAAAGACAATACTGTTCCATTCCTGATCCCAGAGTGACCGTTGTCTGCACCACTCAAGGCGATTACGTCGGTGTTCTCGAGTTTAAGGGAGGACCCAGTGTGGCCGGTATGAAAACAAGCCAAAACTTCTCATTCGTCGGTAAACACTTCGCATGCCAATAGGTCTTCCGTGTTCTGCAAACCATTCATTTGCAATGGACCTGGTAGTGGAGAAACGGTCCCTTAAGGCCAATAATCTTAGGCGGCGATCTTCACGGTCTGTTGTTCTACTGCGGCGTCCAGTGCCCCTTGCTCTTTGCGTATGGCCTTCTCGAAGCCATGCTTGACAACACCTAACCACAGTGTCTACACTTCTTTGCACTCTAACTGCAATTGCCCGAAAAGAAAGTCCAGCTTCCCGAAGTCCCACTATACGGCCCCTATCAACTCACTAAGTTGACGAAATCGTACAGGTCTCCGTACTCTAGGAATCGTAACCGATCGTAAAGCATGTCAAGAACCAAAATCCGCCAACGTTGATTCTTTACTGCGGCTGAAATATTCATTTTTAGAGCGTAGTGAATTAAAAAAAAACAGAATAAAAACCGGAATGTCCAACTGATAAGGCTGAAAATTTTTTCACTTGTTATTTACAGTAAGATAAATACATTCACCAACTTTTATTAAAATAAAACCATTTAAACTGGGTGTTCGTATTTATATGTCACTTAGTATATAACAGATCATGATGGAGATAAAAGAGATAATATATAAATATTATTCATGGGCAGTTTTGAAACAAGGAATACACACGGTTGGAGCTCCATCGCAATCTTCACAAAATGTTAAAACATTTGACGCTTCCACTCTTGCTTCTTTACTTTCTTTCTCCTTCTGAATTCTCTTATAACATACTGAGCAACGTTTTCTGCTACTCCTCGCTGTGCCTTCATATTTTCCAATCCGGTGACTGTTCTTTCCACGCGTCCTTTTTTTTATTTTTTGCTCATTATTCTCTGCATTTTTCACTTCTCCGTCTCTTTCTTGAGCATCGTTTAACAATCCTATTATTTCCTCCCGAAAAGTAAGCATATCAACTGGCTCATTTTTGCCGTTACTATAGCAGTTATAAACAACTAAAGAGTTTACAATGCTTGTTCCTATCAGAATCTCAAATGCAACCTTTTTATACCATTTAATGCTTTTCCTTAGGTTGTATGATACGACGACATCTGATCCGATATGTCTACACCCTTTTTAGCTTTATGTATGCAATAACGGCGGATGGTTTCATTAGATCATTTCCTTTTTGTTTAGCGCCAGTTGCCACTAACTGGTCGGCATGGGTAGATATCAAATTTATCATTATTACAGGGCGTTTGTCAAGCCATTTTGTAACTCGAATACCGTCTCTGGCTCGGGCATCTGTCAATGCCATTTGTCATTTGTGTCAGTGCTTTTTAAGGCGTAGGGCGTAGCGTTCTTGCCTACGTTTGATTTTCCACTGGTTTCCGTGTTTTCCCAGGCGTTTTTAGTGAATATGCCCACTTCGGGCAGGAAAGGCTGATCGAAAGTATTTGTCGAGCTTTTCTGTATGTGGCTATAAAGCTTTCCCCTGACTAAAAAAAAAATACTTCGTCAAAAATATTGTTCGTTTCGATGTTCGATTTTAACGGATAGCATTCAAATCGCTGCTCTTTCACTTTGAACAAAATAATGGATCCTAGCTTTTAACCATTTTTGGTAATCCGTTGTCGTCATACCGACGAATCCTCTTAACTACTTCCAGCCGATAAATGAACATTTCAGCCGCGCTCCTCTGCAGTTCGGCTTAATCCAGTTTCAGTTTAATCTGTGCATATTTAACGAAAGCAATTAAAGTTGTAGAGATTCGGGGCCGGAGTCGGTCTGCCTGAGCATTATTGGTTAAATTGCAGGCTTTACAAACCATTGATTTCTGTTTGCAGACACTTCCAAATGCGATTCCGGCCGAACCGTCGAAACATTATGGCGCAATTATGAAAATGGCGGTCATGTGAAGTTCCACACAGACCATCGGGTTAATGTTATAGGCAGTTTCGTTACTGCAGCGTAACATTTTCAAAGTTATGGTGTATCTTATTTCCTGCAACGATTGAGCTAGTATTGTGATCGACAATCATTTCAAAATTGAGATACGAGGGAACTGGTAATGAGTTGCTCTGTACGCCCGTAGGGGCAGAAATGTGTACTACACAAGTTCCGCCCACTGCAATGCTATTCCGGTTATTTTTGGGTACCTCCTCGTAAATAGTTTGTCATACGTATTTTCATTAGTTTAATCAAAAGCTCAAATTTTGTGTTTCATTTATTCGTGTGTATCTTAGTTCAAACCAGGTGCATCTATCCGCCTATGCAATATATACTAAGTGACATATAAATCCGAACACCCAGTTTAAATGGTTTTATCTTAATAAAGTTGGTGAATGTATTTATCTTACTGTAAATAACAAGAGAAAAAATTTTCAGCCTTATCAGTTGGACATTCCGGTTTCTATACTGCTTTTTTTTAATTCACTAACGCTCTAAAAATGAATATTTCAGCCGCAGTAAAGAATCAACGTTGGCGGATTTTGGTTCTTGACATCCTTTACGATCGGTTACGATGCCTAGAGTACGGAGACCTGTACGATTTCGTCAACTTAGTGAGTTTGATAGGGGCCGTATAGTGGGACTTCGGGAAGCTGGACTTTCTTTTCGGGAAATTGCAGTTAGAGTGCAAAGAAGTGTAGACACTGTGGTTAGGTGTTGTCAGGCATGGCTTCGAGAAGGCCGTACGCAAAGAGCAAGGGGCACTGGACGCCGCCGTAGAACAACAGACCGTGAAGATCGCCGCCTAAGATTATTGGCCTTACGGGACCGTTTCTCCACTACCAGGTCCATTGCAAATGAATGGTTTGCAGAACACGGAAGACGGAAGAAGTGTTTACCGACGAATGAGAAGTTTTGGCTTGTTTTCATACCGGCCACACTGGGTCCTCCCTTTAACTCGAGAACACCGACGTAATCGCCTTGAGTGGTGCAGACAACGGTCACTCTGGGATCAGGAATGGAACAGTATTGTCTTTAGTGACGAGTCTCGATTTTGTTTAGGCATGCACGATGGTCGTGCCAGGGTTAGAAGGCGACGTGGTGAAAGGAGGAATCCACAGTTTTTTGTTGAAAGACATGTTCATCACACTGTTGGAGTTATGGTTGGGGTGCTATAGCTTATGGTTCCAGGTCACCTTTAATCTTCATCAGAGGTAACATGAACGCGCAGCGTTATATCCACAAAGTTCTAGAACCCCAACTTTTACCCTATCTTGACACCCTGGCAGATCCAACTTTCCAACAAGATAATGCCCGACCACATGTTGCAAGAGTCACAATAGACTTCTTTCAACATAATGATGTCACATTGTTACCATGGCCACCAAGATCTCCCGACTTATCCCCAATTGAGTACGTGTGGGATATGATGGGTAGGAGATTGCTCAATTTGCAACGTCCTCCTCAGACTCTAGAAGCACTTCGAGAGGAGTTGGTGGTTGCGTGGAATGAGATACCACAGGAGGACATTGACCACCTGATCAGAAGCATGCCTAGGCGCGTTGGAGAATGCGTAGCACATCAGGGTGCATCCACACATTATTAAAGGTCAAAGGGCTTTAAAGCAGTGCAATCATTTTGAAATTTTTATCATTTACTTATTATGCTGCATTAAGTACTTATACAAAATTTTATTAAAATAAAATCACTTAAACTGGGTGTTCGGATTTATATGTCACTTAGTATACATCTACTCGGCACTCGCAGATAAAAATTACATCCATAAACCTTCTGCGCATTACGTCAGGCATCATGTATTTTTGGGCCAAATATTTTAACAACCGGCGATCACTTCAAAGACCAATTTAAATCTGAGCTGAAATGCTACTCTACCAGTAACTGTTCTTATGTAATTAGC